TTTGGGCTCCCTGCGTGGGCAGCCCATCAGCCGGTGCCTTCTCCCTGCCCTGCGGCTCGGGAAGGCGCAGGAAGCAGGAGGGATTCAGGGTTAAAAACTTGCCCGAGCCTCCAGATGAGTCAGCCTTGCGGTTTGTAGGGCAGACAAGTGCTTCTGGGCAAGGGATTGTTTTTGTGCCCTGTCTATGTGCTGGTCATGCCCAGAAGCTGTTGTTGGACCACAAGGCTCCAGTGCCAGGAGCTGCTCAAACAATGGGGCTGTGTTTCCTCCTGGACCATCCACACAGCCCTGGATGCTCCTGAAGGCTTTTTGCAGTTTCTGGCTTCCTGCTTGGAGCTGCTTTTCTCCTGCAGCTCATACACATACACAATTAGCGACTATTTTGGGACCTTATCGTAGATACTTCAGAGCTGATTAGCCTTGGACTTCCTTCCTCCCATCATCAACCTCCTCCAGTTCATGGCCCTAATTTGATCAGCTCAGAGAGCAGAGGAGCTTTGGGAGGTATCACAAGGCCTCAAAGTGCATAGTTTGGAGCTGGCAGCAGCTGTGCTGATAAGGAAGAGCCATTTCTGCTCTGGTCCATCTGTTTGGTGCCAGCCACGTGCACAGCACAAGGACAGACCTTGGAGGCTCTTTTATGCCAGTGGCTCTGGGTGAACTGGAGCTCAGCACTGAGGCAACACAACCCACAAGATAAACCTTTCCAAGCACTCAATGCTTGGGAAGAAAAATAACCTCAAAGGAACTACTTGGAATGGTCTGAGTTTTCAGCCTCAAGTCCTTCATGTGTGTCATGATGGAAGGATGAAGGAGGGGAATTGGACACAGGTGTTTACTGCACAGTGAAAACTCCCTGGAGAACATTTCTCCCCCTTCTCCACACCCAAAGGACTCAAACAAGCAACTTCATGTTTACAGAGAATGTGAAAAATGTTTATTTTTGAAATACATTGTCAAACTACAAAAAACATCAGCCCCAGAGGAACATTTTCCCCTCTGACACCACCCCAGTTATTCCCAACTCCCTGCCCACCCCCCAGTCCTGCTCCCACACCAAGGCTTGTCACTCCTGAGCACTGCAGCTGCTGCCCTAAGGGAGGAACCACAAATCCTAGTTGGAAACACTTTGTAACAGGGTGATGTTGTCTCCCTTCAGCATGATCCGACCTGCAACAAAAAGGAAACAACAGGGATTACAGAGAGCATGGAATGGGTTAGGCTGGAAAGACCAGAGGTACCTGAGAGGAGTCTAACTGGGTTTATGCTCCCACCCCTGGCACTGAGGCTCCCTCAGCTCACACAGACACTGTGACATACCCAGCTGCTTCCTGGATTTCGTTTTGGAGTGAATCTCCTCTGCATCATCCAGCACCAGGTTCATGTATTCATCAAAGCCCTGAAAGGCAGCACCAAACACAGCCCATGAGCTGAAACTCAGCACCAACCACACAAACCCCCTCAGCTCTGCAGTCAAGAGAGACTCAAGACCCCCATGCTAATTTTCCTTGAAAAAAGGAGGGAAAAGAAGGGTTGTATGAACGTGAACCTCCCAGAAAAGAGTCAGGAGTGCCCAGGGACTCTGATACTCACAATGATGCAGCCTTCTATCCGCATGTTCACCTGCTCATAGAGCCACACCTGGATCCTGGACCTCTGCAAATCATGGACAGGGAGAGTAAAACAGGCACACAAACACCCCAAGCAGTTTGGTTCTCTCCTGTGTAGCATGGGCTCCTCACTGCCAACAGCCTGGAGCACTGACAAGAGTCACCCTGTTGTACCCTCAGGTGTTTCTGAGCTTTGGTGCTGTTTTGTCAGCAATGTAATGCAGGAAAGAAGGTCATTCTAATTCCCACATGAAAATAGTGGCAGGTGTCCCTGCCCAAGGGGTTGGAACTGGGTGAGCTTTGCAGTCATAGAATCAATCATCAAGGTGAGAAGAAACCTTTAAGATCATCAAGTCCAGACATCCACCACTAACCCCCTAAACCTCCAACCCACATCACCCAGTGCCATATCCACACACCTCGTAACCACCTCCAGGGATGGAGACTCCACCACCAACATTCCACCACCTAAATCTCTTCCCTCCATCCCACCCCACCCAGTCCCTCTGTGTCACACAGGGGCAATGCTCCCCCTCCCCCTTTACCCCCCCTTGTACTCACGTTCTGCAAGTAGCGAAAGATCAGGTTCTGGGGAGGAGAATTAAGGACACAACACAGCCACAAACCATCGGGGTGGGAGTGAAACCTAACGACCCTCAGGGGCTGGAACTCAGGACCCTCTGGATGTGCACACGGAGTGGTCTCTCCCCGCGGTTCCCACCGGGATGTGTCCCTAGACCCCACACGGTCACACTGAGCGACTCCTCCCCGTGGTTCCCAGGGGAATGTGTCCCTAGACCCCACGGAGCGACTCCTTCCTCCATTCCCCGCGGTTC